TCTTTAACCAGAAAAGGTCCATTGGCAGAGCCGATGTTCTCAGACATGGCGGCCATGAAAAGCAAACTTCTGTAAACACTCATGTTGGGCTGCACAGCTCCACTTTCCCAGCATTTCAAATATCCGACACCGTGTTTGGTTCTGCCTGAAACACGGCCTCTCAGACCTGAGCGTTCCTACCAAATCACCACTTCAGGATAGGAGACAAAAGGCTCCTTCCTCCTGCTGAGACCTCACATGTATTTAAGGCAATGAAACACCGGGATGCACTTTATAATGTTTAGAGGCAGCTGTCAGTCACAGCATAGACACACCCTGAAGAACATCCTGTTTAATCATCTATTTCACTCTGGAAGAGAGTAAAAAAAACTAAGAAACTAGTCATTTAGACAATCTGTAGGAAGAACGTGAGAACCAGCAGTTTCCTGTTGCCAGGTATGAGACAGAAAGGAGGTTTAAAGCCATTCTGCAGGCTTCAGCTTCCATTTCCATAGTTATTTTTCTACTTTTTTCTTTATGTTCACTGTAAACTTTCTCACCACAAATGGTTTAGTGTTTCAAACTTGTGGCGTGGGAAAATGAAAGACATTATGTGAAAAAATACTTATGCTAAATTGGAGTAAAACAGTTTGTTTAAAATGAACAAACTGGGTGAAATTTATGTCAATCTTTAAACAGGAATAAACTAAGATGACGGGATAAGAAATGCGACCGGCGTCCAGTTTTTGATACAAATCACTTCCGACGCGTCTCAGTTTGTACCCAAAGAAAAAAAAAAAACAGCCTACTTATCTTTAATGGTATGAAAAGCTATTTTCTGTTCTGCTTGAATGCCTACAGAACACCATAATGAAGTCATTATGACACATGTCACAAAGTTAACATGGTGATTTTGACTTCTTAATACAGAGCAGGGCGGGTCGAGCTTCATGCTTTATACAAAGTGTCACCATTTGCATCTGGAGAAAAAACCAAACCTGAACATGTTTATTTAGTCCTGCGGTAATATCTTTCTCGGGGTTGATGTAAGAAGCCAGAGAGCTTAACTTGAACCTGCTTTGCATAACTGTGGTTGACGTGTTATGAATAATTCCTTCACTCAAACCAGAGCTTAAACAACGAGTTTAAAACAGTAACAGCCCCCCTTTTTTTTTTTTTTTTTTGCTTTCCCCGTCAGTGGACTGTGACTGTGTTGCGGAAAAAGAGGGAAATTTTCTTGTAAGTTTAGCTATTAAGTAGTTAACAGACTCATGTGATGAATCACACACACAAACACAAAGCACGAGGAGCTGGATTTGTTTGTTTATGGACCGAAAACACTGTTTTTCCTCACTTCCCCAAAAAAATTACACTCCACCATCCTCCGCTGTGCCCTCGGCTCTCTGCAATCTGGAGAGCATCTGATTGTTATTTGGGTCTCATTGCACTGTTATCATGAATAAAAAACACTGTGCTGGGGCCCAAAGGCTCTATAAAGAAACCCAGAGAGGTCTAAATCCAGACCGTGACTGACATCCGTCGCAATGTCGGTGAGAAGTCTGTAATCAGAGCTGGCTTATAGCAGACAGCGGGACCATCCATCTGTCTCTAAAAGAACTCTGGCACAACCTTTGAGCTGGACGGTTGCACACAATAGCACGACAGAGCTGTCTACTCCACTTACTTTAAAACCTCATGAAATAAGAGGCATTCTTAGTGTCAGAGTCTGTAAACAATTCAAAAGCCCCATTAAGACTAATTTACTGTTTTTAAGTTAAAAATGGAGCATTAGCAGTTAACCTACTTCCTAAAATATAGCTAATACCTAAAAAGATAGCTAACACCTAATGGTAAAGCTAAAAACTAACATGGCATCGAACATCTAACATTATAGCTAACATGTAATAGTAAGGCTAACAGCTAACATGGTCGCTAACATGAAACAGTACAGCTAAAACCTAAAATGGTAGCTAACACCTAAGGGTTTAGCTAAAAACTACGATGGTAACTATCACTGAACGGTAAAGCTAACATCTTACATGGTATCTAACACCTAATAGTACAGCTAACACCTGACAGGGTTGCTAACACCTAAATAGTAGCGAACAGAACACCTAAAGGTAGGCTATAGCTAAAAACTAACATTGCAGCTAAAACCTTACATGGTAGCTGAAAAACACAACAAAAAAGTTTAGCTTGACACAATAAATAATCACAAGGATCAAAAGAAAGAAAATGTATTATATATACACTTAATGAACTCTTATGTTAAATATCTTTTTAAACAATATGTTAGTAACTCTTTTATAAAACATTAGCTGGTGGTTTTTCATTGTCTAAAAGGCAGTTTAGCATTGTTATGGTTACCAGAATTTGTGGATAGGACACCATTGCTTTTGTGAATAAGTTTGACATTTTCCAGACACCGAATACACATGATTACCGTGGTGGTACGGTCGCCAGCAAAAATACACATTCCAATTACACGTGAAATGTAATGCGGGTTGAATCATTTCACTGGCGGCTGTAGTTGCGAAACGTTCTGGAGATTTTGGCCTCCCCAAACCAGGATCCTATCCTAAACCAACCATGCAACTCCAGTACCCTCACCAAAAAGTAAAGGATATGAAAGAGTCCCCAGGTCTAGAGCTCGAAACTGGCCTCACACAGGAAAAGTAAAACTAGGTGTCTTATGGGAGGGGAAATATAGATTAGATCTTCATCCATCAGTCCGTTTTCTTTTCGCTAGGAGCTGATAGAGTTTTACTCACCTGACTACTTCAGGTTCAAAGGCCCTGATTCCACTTAAACCCCAAACCATAATCCAGCTTACTTTCATTTGGGACCTGATCCAAAACGAAGGCCCATTGGTTTCCACGTCAGCCAGTCTTTAACTCTCTGTCAAAGACGGTACATTTGATATCAATTATTCGCCATCCAGTTATGACCATTTTATGGGTTCTCTAGTATAATCCATTTTCATTTGCCTCAAAATGACTTTTTTAATTACTTGTTTTGGTTTTACTGATGTTTTGGGGTTATTTATCTTTCATCACAGGCCAACTTTTGGTGGTCCTAGTGGACGTTTCCGGACCTCAGGCTGTATGTGTGTGATCTATAGCCTTCATGCTACCTCGATTAAAACATTGAATTTATTTGTCTGCAAATTCAAAGCCGTTCCTCGGCTTTCCATCGGAACTGTTTCTTTGGATCTGACACACAACTTCCTCGTCATTTGTGAGGCAGTGTGAAAAGAGTCCATTTTCATATTCATCCAGCCTCATTCCATTCTAGTGGAATGACTACAGAAATAATAACACATCTTAAAATATCCCGTATCTGGTTACAGGTAGATTCTTGGCTAAAAGTTTCTAGTTTTGGCCTTCGAGTTGACTGCGAGTGAAGGAACAGGCCGGCTTTCTTTCATTTAAAGCATGAAATGAATTCTTTGGAGGGATAAATTGTTATGGAGTTTAATCAAACAAACACAATCCTCATTTCTGAGTATAAAGTTCACTCTATTAAAACGAAATAAAAATCAATGGGCTTTATAGCAACTTGCTTTGTGTCCTCAGGAAGAGAAAGGGTCCAAGTGACTCTTTAAAGAGCTCTTTTGAATCTTGTTTTTCCTTTTGAACGTTATTGTCCCCGACAGCAAACATTAACGCTTGTTTGAACTTTCGAGCACTCCGGACTTCCTTTTCTTGTGGTTGTTTCTTTTCTAAATAATGGAATCGATTCTTCCCCTAATGAAAGCTGAAGAGAGACCCGCTGTCACGCAGTTTCACAGATTAGCTTTGAACTGACACGTGTAGAGAGAGGGGGAGAAAAAAAGAAGGAAACCATAAAGATTATGGAAAGAATAACAAAAAAAGACCATTAGTCAACGCACTGTGAAACCTTTTCCCTTTCGGAGAATTCATTTCAGCTTATCTGGAGATTGTGAGCTGGTATGTGCGTTTGACAAGATAAAGAAAGCTCTCGTTAATTAATAACCTTTTTTTTTTTAACACAGTGAGTGAATTTAAGCTTTTAAATGGAACCATATGGATTATTTCTACAGTGCTTCCAGAAAGGTGATTGGACTTGACACCTCAGGGGAGTGGCTCCGAGAAGGCTTTTCCACACTGCCCTGTATTTTTAGACAAAATTATTTTACGTCAGGCAGATTTCATAATAGAACAATTTGAGTTGTATTCAAACCCGATCACATCCCAGAACCCCTGTGGGATGACGCTATAACATGACGTCCACCACCATAACCACCACACACAGCTCTGGATTTAGTTTGTTTAAAGTTTCAAACTGGCTGATGGTGATGAAGCTGTTGTCCTGACAACCAGACTCCCCCTCCAGAGGGCAGTGTTTGAAAGAGAGAGCCTCCATCCGTCAGCGCTCATCACGTCTCAGGGACGGTGAGAGGTGCCGGGAACCTCCAGTCCACGTCCAAACCGGAGACGTGTTGGATCCTCATTAAAAAAACAACAACAACAAAACACCAGCTAAACAAAAACAATACTTGTAAACAACGTGTGATGCTGCGTCTTGATGGTGGTTCGAATCAACCAGGTCCCGATCAGGCTTTTTCACTTTGTCTTTTTCTGGTTTAATCCGTGTGCTTAGATACGTTAGGTCGGGTAATCCTCAGAAAAAGGGCAGAAACCTGCGCGTCCAGTGCGTAAACCAGTGCGCAAACCAGTGCGCAAACCAGTGCGTAAACCAGTGCGCAAACCAGTGCGTAAAAGCCTTTCTAGCTGCGTAATGGGGCCGAGGTCGTTCCTGGTGGGGGTGGGGTGGGGGGCAGGAAGATGCTTTTGCCCCACTCCACACTCCCCTCTATCTCCCTGACCCCCCCCCCGTCCTCCTCTCCTCCTCCACCTCGTCCCTCTCGCCTCCTCTCTATTTTTACCCTCCTCTCCCTTTTTTTTGCGCACTCATCCAGCCCCCCCCTTCCCCTAACCCCCCCATCCAGCCCTCTCCTCTCTCCTCCTTTCTCAATGAGCCCTGCGCCCAGGTTCGACCCCTCCCACTCCGCGTGAGCGCTTAATTGTCAGCCCCTGACGACGAACGTGGCTTAAATAGACCGCGCGCGCCTCTTGCGCAGACAGTGGAAGTGACCAGCCTAGAGGAGCGGGCATCTCTCTTTTTTGTGCGCGCGCACGTGTGTGTCTGTGTGTTTATTTTCATTAAAAAGAAAAAAAATATCCTAGGTATCCGAATCCCTCCAGGTAGGCCCAGGTGAGCCGGATCGGGCTGATTTGTGCCCACTCAGAAGCATGCACGTGTCCGTGGCCGCGCTCGCGCTCGTGCTGCTGCTGCAGGGATGCTGCTGCACGGTCGCGAGGGGATGGAAGGTGCTGAAGAACGATGCCACGGAGCTTTTACCGGAGTACAGGGAGAACACCCGGACGGCGCACGAGGCGAACCGGCAGACGCCAAACATCATCCATAACAACAACAACAACAACAACAACAACAACAGCATGAACAACAACAGGGCGAAAACCGGCGGCAGGACGGCAAACACAGTGTCTTACAGTAAGTGTTAGGTCTAACGGCAGTTTGCTCGTTTGGAAAGAAAAATTTCAATTTGACAGCAAAAAAATGAATAAAAATACAGTACATCCGCAGTAATGTTAAAAACAAACGTTTTATTTTATGCCAAATTTGGTCCAATTCTTATTTTTTCTTTTCTTATTGAGAAAAAAGAGTACAAAAAAACTTGTGTTAATCTATTAAATGTTTATTATTTATTAAATGTTTTTAAATGATAATCGCTTTTCCGGCCTCTGAATAACTTGACTTGTGGTTCAGTTTGATAAAACAAACAATCTCTGATCAATTCGACAGGCTTGCCTGCTTTTATATTTTTTTCTTTGGATTTTGCTTCAAGCAAGACAAAAAAAAACAAACAGAAAAACCCATAAATGGAGGTCTTGTCCTGGAATTAGTGGATGAGGATAATCAGGGTCTGTCCGGCTCGGTTGGATTTATCCTCCCGGAACACAGACCTTCCTCTTCTGCCTCCTGGTTCTGGAGCTGTTTCCCTGATTAGCAGCTGCTGCCCTGGCTGTGTTTTCTCATTAAACCCCAAGATTCGGGGTGATGAGACTCAGACTCACTCAGACTCACATTCCTGTGGTCCCCCCACACACACACTCCCGGAGAAGCACGGTGGCTTTTTCCCGTTGTCTTCCAGGTTCTTTCCTTCTCTCCTTTTCCCGTTCGTCTAACTCTGCTTACTCCATAACCTTTTGATTGCAACATTGGCCTTCCGAGTAGAAAAAAGCCCCTCGCTCTGCCCTTCGGGGCGATTCCTTTGGGGCTTTTTAAACGCGGCACTGCCTCTGGGAATGATTCCCACCTGCAGGACGATCAGCTCCGGCCCTCATGGACTCAGCGGTTTAATGGCTTAATGGTGGCTTCTTGATTTGAAGATCAGAGAAGGCGATTGATTCAATTAGAGCAAGAGCCAACTGGAGGGGGGGATTAGGTGGGGACTTTAGGTCGGAGAGTGGGATTTCTGCCCCGAATCCGAGCAGGAATGAGATTCTTTATCAGCCTTACTATAAAGGATGAGTGCTTCTCTTGTTTTCGGCATGTGTCCGAGGAGGGGAGAGGAATCTCCCGGATTATTTTTCTTTATTTTTCTGTCCGGGGACGGCTCTCCTCCAGCCCTCTCCCGAGGATTTCTGAGAGCACCGAGGGGAAAAAAGAGCCGCTCACGCAACTGTACAGCCACCCAGAGCAAGGGCCTTTCCTTTTTTTTTAAAAACCCGGCCTCTATAAAGAGAACAGGAACTGCGAGGGGAATCACACAGATAGAGCGGATTAAACACACGTCTGATAAACAGTGTGGGGGACGTCGGGCTGACCGGGCGCTGGGGGGCTTGTGTACCGCTGCGGAACACAGAACAACACCAGATCAGGTTCTCACAGAGAGAAAAAAAACAAGGAAGTCACCTCTCATAAATCCTTTGGTTCAGCCCTATTTTCACCCCCCAAAAAAAGAAAGCCGCAGAGGAAAGCAGATCCCTCTCCTAGTGTATCATTTCTCCGGCTCTTTTTTCCTTTTTTTCTTTTAGTCTTTTTAGAAGAAAAAAAAAAAAGAAAAAAGCGGGGACGATAACTCAAGCACGCGGCCGTTGAAGGGCTGTGGCCGAGGGATGAGGTTTCTGGTGCCTCTGACCGGCCTGGCTCCGCTCCAGTTTTTGGGGCTGCCCTAAAACAACCAGACGGCTATTTACTCCTCTGTCACCGCACGCGTTTCCCCAGGGGGTCGACGCGTTTCCCATCCCAGCCCAAACCCCCGGACCCCCGCTCGGACTGAGCCCTTTAACGGGTGTGTGCTCTGGGTTTGCTATCGGCCGATCGCTGGCGGCTGGATTTTTCTGTCGGCTAATGATCGGGCCCCGATTCAGGCCGCCTGCCCTTTGACCTGATCCGATCCCGTTAGCTTCGATATCTGGTCGAAGGGGACACATTACTGCCGTGAGTCGGGTTTTCCAGCGGCGTGCGGTGTTCCGGGGGAAGTTGAAACAGCTCGGGGTTTTTACCTGGCCCGCGTTTGTTTGTTTGTTTCGCTTCTCCGAAAAGACAAAAAGGCCAGATGGGCCTGGAGAGGACGGAGAGGAAGAGGGATAGCGAGAGGGAGACGGAAAAGGGAGAGGGAGATGGAGAAGGAGAAGAATAGCGAGAGGGAG